CCATTTTCCTAACAACTTAAATAGTTGCATTTGTATGCCATTTCCCTTAAAGAATATTTTATATTTCATTGACACAAATCCCAATCGCAACTGACAATGAGTCACTGTTCGCAGATTTGTCTATTAAGTGTGTAAAATATTTAAGTAGCTTTAAACTTTTTATGGAGTGTTGCGACAACGTCAGTTCTCTCCTCCCAAGTAGAAAGTAAAGTTTGTCAAACTTTTGTTTCAAAAGTCAAAGGCGCAGCATGTTGATGAATGAGTTGAAAGCCGAATCATGGGCAGGCAGGTCCTGCCAGCTGGAACTGGACCAGTGGCTAGTGCTACACCCGCATCCTTGGGCCCTTGGTTCTTATCGCCCGACAGTTGCAAATTTATATGCGCCGGCTTCCTCAAAGGCCAGCAAAGAGCTGAGAGCTGGGAGCTGAGAGCTGGGAGAATTATGTATAAGCTGCCAGGCATTTAAAAAGGCATAAATGTATTTTCCGGCGCGCACTCACATAACGGAAAATTTATGAACTGCAGTTCCAGAATGCTGGCGGAAAGCAGGAAAAAAATTAATTGCCAAACTGTAACAAGAGCATGGCCAAAGTGTCAGCTGGAAAACTATTAAAAACGCATCTTCGCCCTGGCCATTCAAGGTGAAGCACCAACAACTGGACCAAGTTTTCCCACCACCTGCACTTCCGCACCTGCAACTGCAATTGCAACTGCAACTGCAGATGGGAAAGCAAAACCGAGAGAGCCAACCTGACTTCCTGTTTTTCCTGTTGGCCAGACCAAAACCAGGATCCAAAAACCAAGACGTGGCTCGTTCAGTTGCCCAAAATGCGGAAACGTCCATTTTATAGCGGAAATATATTCTTGTGCGGAGACGCGCTGATGATTTATGTATGTTTTGGCATTACGTGCTCTGTGTGCCATTGGAATTAAATTCCTGGGCAGGATGCTTCAAAATGGTCACTAGGTATTTGCCCTGGCGCTTAAAAAGCTACTTTTCCATCGTCGCTCGTCTGTGTCTGGCTTTTGATAAAAAGTTAACCATCGCAAACGATGGAGAGAAAAAACCCTGACAGAAATGGGTTAAGCTCAAACAAATGCTGCAATTATTTGCCCGCATTTATTTTCCCGCATTTTCCTTTAGGCCTCTGATGGGGAAAAGCCGCGCATAATTCAGGTTAAGTGTGCTTCATATGCGTTTATGCTGACATTAAAACACATTGAACGGATTGTAGGACTTTTCACTGGCTGTTCACCCTGTTCTCCCCAGTACAGTTGCAAAATGAAAACTTTTTTATTGAAGTTGAGAGCATGCGTGCGTACTGGCTAAAGCAAAGGCAAAAAAAAAATTCAAAAAAATAATAACAAACTTTTTGTGCCTGTGCAAATGCAAAACAAAAATGTCGCACAAAGAGGAAAACTTGCATCATTTCGAGGCAAGTAAAAAGCAGAAGCCGGGTCCCCCAGTCCGCCCATTAAGCATTGGAAAATAATTAAAAAGTTTTTCGTTGAGCTAATGGAAATTGAATTGCAGGACCGTCTTAAACAAGGACGGGAAATTTCATTAAAATTCCGGATGAATAATTTAAAAACAAATGAAAAAATGGCTACCCATTTAATTTTGAATGGAAGCGATAAATGCAAAGTGGAGTGATTATTTTGTACTCCATTTAAAACTAAATACTTTTTACTTATGCATGGAATTTTATACCACTTAAATAATGTTTATGACTTTATGAAAATACCTGCTCCTCATAAAAAAGTATACCTGTTTTTTTGTGATATTTGAGTGATAAATAAAGGTAATGTTTCTACGTTTGTGCGATAATAAAGCTGCAATAAATATTTAAACGGACACTAGAATTGAATGTTTAATTTGGTCAGCGCTGAACAAAACTATTTAGGCAATATATAAAAACCGCTGTGGTTTGTATAACTATTAATTAAATAATTGTTGGAAAACACCAAAAAAAAACCAACTTTAAATGGGGTTAACTTGGCCGCAAATATGGCGCTGCATAATACATTTCTTTTAACGGAATTTCCAGGTTAACACTTTACAATATCCCACACGCACGCAGGATCTCACCCGCACTCCGGACAGGACCAGTTGGCATTGCACGTCAGTTCACAGGACGTCGCCCACGCGCTGCATGCTTGGTTGCATTTTTTGGCAGCTCGCACGTGTTACCGCTCAACAGCTACATCTGCCCTTCAGAAAGAACCCCCTCTTCCCCCTTCCCAACCTTCCGCTCACCGCCATCTGCAGTTTTTCCTCCGTTTTTTTCCGCGCTCACAAGTGCACACGAGTGCACGGCATAATGCATTTATAAAGGCCGCCGAACAATGCCAACAGCCAGTCAGATAATTTCATTTCGCTCCTGTGGGAATGCCATTTCCGATTTACCACTAACCGTTTGTTTCTCTCGCACTTGGCACTGCTTTACATTTTACATTTACTATTTACTTTTGCACTGCCACTGCCACTGGCTCTGGTCCGTCGTATTTATTTTATTTTTCCGTGACGTTGTCATTACGCTCGCATGTGCTTGTGCTGCAACTTTGGTTGGCACATGAAATTTTATGACGACTCTTGTGCCGCCCTTCTAGCCCAGATATCATTGTCGGTGACAGGGAACAGCAACAGGAGCCCAACGCTTTACACAGAAATAAATATTTTGAAGTGTTTCCTGCTCGGATGCTTATGCTAAAATGTTTCAATATAAACTTGTTATAAAGATATAACTTACTTATATGGAATATAAATCTTCTCTTACATTTAAATCAACATTGAGTAAGGTATACATTTTTAATAAATTTAAACATGCGCAAGAAACATGTTTTGTCTTATCTATTTCTTCTATAACGCTTTTAAAAAATTTTAAATGTTAACAAAAAATGTGAGAAATACAATTTTTTTTTATTCTGGTTCTTTATTTCAACAAAAACAAAATAATATTAAATAAATGTATATATTTTTACACATATGCAACTTGCCTACCGAAAAGCACACAATTTTTAAACCATTATAAGTGGTATTTTTGTCAGTGTAGCCATCTTCCCTTTCCGACAAGCAGTCAACGCTCGCGTTTTAACAGACAGACGCAACTGAGACAGTGACGTTGGCGTCTGCAGGTGAGGGCAAACAATGCAAATATTTGTACGCTTCCATAAGTATATAGCACACATATAGTGGCGGGTGTATAAGTTGTTCCAAAAGCGCGATAAAAAGCAATGTCGCCTATTGTTTGGCAAGTCTGGCTGATGTCAGCATTGATTCGATAAGTTATCAGAAAACTTTTAGGCAAAAACAAAAATATTCCTGTGTCAAAGGGATGCTTTAAGATTAAAGACTTACATCTTAAGAAAAGAAGTTTTCTTAAGTCAGAAGTATTTTTTCAAAAACAGCATAGTATATGCTAATTGGGAGAAGAAGAAGTTTATAAACTTTACTTTCAATTGTGAGACCCCAATTAAAATACCCAGCAAGAATACATTTGCCCACATTTTAAATCATTTCAATGCAAACTTGAACTATGCTAATTAATACTAGCAAAGTTTTCACAGGCGGAACCTAATTGCGAACATCTTTGCTCCAGATGCATTGTTAATAATGTTCCACCAAATTGACGCTTGGCTTGCTCCTTGCTCCTGGCTGCGGTTTCTTCTACATGGCTCCCTTTTGGCCACCCCAAATGTATCTGCGAGTATTTCATTATGTAGCTGTATAATTTCAATATGTCCGTACTGCTGCCAATAAAATTTGCACAAGCAGAAAAAGGCAATGTAAAAGTTTTTGCCAACGAAATGAACGACGCAATCATGCGGCCCACACCCCCCCATCCGAAACCCCTTCATGTTTCGCAGTTTTTGTTTTTATTCCATCTTTGCCACTTTGGGCTTGCAACAAACTTTATTAAAAAGTATGCAAGAAATTTTTGCATCTACACATTGCCCGAATACCCAAAGGGCTCCGGAGGCATCCGGTTCTGGCTGAAGTTTGGACCTGCCAGCCTCATCCTTCCGTTAAGTTTTACAGGAGGAATCCTTTCTCTCCTCTACTCAGCCTCTGCCTCTGCCTCAGCCTGAGCCTCAGATTGACATGAATTGGCGAAATGAAATTGCAATTTCTTGTGATAAATTTCAATGAACATTTTGCAAAGGCTCAAACAAGAAGTGAAAGTCTGAGCTGTGGCACAAGATTTCGCTCCGTTGAGTGCAGTTTGCTGTATTTTAGCAGCCGGTTAGCAAATAAAAAATTGCCCACATAAATTGCCTGCCAACGGATTTATGCCAAATAAATAAAATCTCTCTCAAACAGTTATGGTTTGGAAATTAGTAATTTTTTGTGATTAATGTTGCAAACATAATTTGGCAATTTCACTATATAGCTAACCTTTAAGACAACTTTGTTTTCACTTTGTTAAGTATACTTTCTGTATTTTTGTGCTCTAATAATATAAAAAAGCGGCTAATTTTAAAAAATTAATGTCTATATGCTTCTTTCATTTTGAATATACTTCTTGTGAAGTAGCATTGAATTAAAAGGTTTAGGTTCTTGGCTTCAAAAGTAACTTACAAGTGTTATTTTAATTCTTATGATGTATTTATCATGCATTCTAATAATACAATATCCTTTCACTTTGTTGAACCTGTGTTCTGTATTTTGATGTTTGATGTATTTTTTGTATGAAGCAACGACATAAATAAACTGCTAGTTACATGGATTATGCATGTGAATCAATTTCCATTTTCCTGTTTAAAGATTAATGTGCGTCTACATACATACATTTTAAGGTACTAAATAGGTCCTTTGGTGTTGGGACATGTGTGTGAGAGCAAGGGGAAAATATGCTATAATATTAAGTAAATAAAATGCACTGAGAAGCTTGCATTTATATGCAAATGCAGGTCTTAACTTTTTAGTATACATTTGAAACAGTGACTACAATTAACGAGCCATCACACGGTGTCCTTTGGCACCTGTTTTACCATTTCAGCTGTCGTCTGGGGCAATCACCATGAGAGTCTTTCGCTCAGTCCCGCGGAGCACAGCGTGGTGCGATATACAAACGAGTCGCTCATCGTCCAGTGCCGCAGTCCCAATAAGGATGTGAAACTGCATTGGAAATCGCCGAGAGGCGAAATTATACGCGAGCACAAAGGACGCATTCACATTGAGCAAACATCGCCAGGTAAGGAACTGATCGGTTGGGATGGGATGGGATGCAATGGGATGAGCTAGATAAAAGAGAGGGAAACACTGCGGTGGAACGCATAGCGGGGGCAGGAGGTCGGGGGTCAGGGGGAAAATGTATACAAGGCCACTGGCACAACAAACGCAATTAATTGCAATTCTCACATTCTTTGTTGCTAAATACCCAGTGAGGCAACATCACTGAAAAAGATTGGGCAGAGCTTTAACAGTAAATGAAATAATTATTAATTTATTTTCCTTAGTTTAATAGAATATTTTATAAATATTACAGATTCAGATTGAAAATAATATAATCATAATTATGTTTCATAAATTTCAAAGTTTCCTGTAATATTATTTTAAGCTTTAGTTAGGGAAATTTTCAGAAGAGTTTTATATCGCAAAGGAAAGGAATTAGAAAAGGCATTATTTCAAGTTAAATATTGGAAATGAAAAAGGGGGTATTTTTGTTTAATGGGATATCAAATAGTCAATTCTTTTTATGCAGTCTAACCGTGCTTTATGCTCGTCGCTTTGTTTGGCGAACACCGTTTAACCTTTTCCTATGTACATATTCCTTACTCAATTTCCCATTTTCCATTTCTTTTTACTCACCGTCGCATTCGCTTGTTTATTTTCCCTGCACAGAACAATTGAAAATCGTTTTCGCCCACATCGCACTGGCCGACAAGGGCAATTGGACCTGCGAAGCTCCTGATGAAGGTCTGCATAGTAAATCCTTCGATTTGATTGTGTACCGTAAGTGCTGGAATCGCCCGGAGGTCGTAGGTCAGTCATTAATATTGCATTGTTTTCTCGCCCCATTCGCCGTCGTTCGTTTGGCCAGAGAAAATTACATTCACGGAAAATGCCACCGTGATGACCGTTAAGGAGGGCGACAAGGCCACCATCCTGTGCGAGGTGAAGGGCGAGCCGCAGCCGAATGTTACCTGGCACTTCAACGGACAGCCCATCAGCACCGGCGGTAATGAGCATTTTGCATGAAGCCCCCTTTGGCAAATGGTACCCCAATTTTTGTCCTTTTCCACTCCATTCCATGTGCAGCGGCTGACGACTCCAAGTTCCGCATCCTGGGCGATGGTTTGCTCATCAACAAGGTAACACAGAACGACACCGGCGAGTACGCGTGCCGAGCTTACCAAGTCAACTCGATTGCTTCCGATATGCAGGAGCGCACAGTTTTGATGAAAATCGAACGTGAGTGTGATTTATGATTACCAACAAAAAAACTGGTAGACATTGGGGCAAAAATATATTTAAAAAATTAAAATTAAATGTATTTTTGTATGTATTATATTTTAAGTCAATGTAATCGATTAAACATATTTTATTCTTCTTCAAAATATCTCAATTGTTAATTACATTTTAATTGTAAAACATTTTATTTTCTTTAAATTTAATTTATCAGATAATAATTTGTAATACTACAGTAATCTTAGTTACATTTTAGTCGATTTTACTTGCCCAACTTCCAAATTTTGTTATCAGAAGCCCTTGCAAAAAACTTTAACATACATTTTATTTTTGGCGTGTTTTTGCATGTTTTTATATAGGTAGAACTAGCATTTATGTTCAATTTAACTAACATTTTCGGCCTTACCAAGTTCCACTGTGCAATATGGGTTGTCCTGTCGAAATGACTTGTGAACCGTTTTGTTTTTTTTTCCAATGCTTGGGTGTTCTAAATTTTGAGCTTGCGTTTAGTATGCGACGCACCGAGCGGTAAATAGTTTTTGAGCACGAAAAATGTTGGAATTACATTCGCGGCATGCGAGCCGCTTTTGATGTATACCGATGTCGGCCGGTGTTCCTGATGTCCTGATGTGTGGCCAGTGGGAGTTCGAGTGGGAGTGGGCGTGGCGCACATGCAGCTAATGGCTTAACTTGGCCGAGTCCTGATTTATGGTTAGCGGACATGGTTTTTCCATTTCCATGGCATACCTTTGAGCGCCGCGCTTTTGAGTTGTCAGTTTGTCAGCTGTCAGCCGAGGGGATTGTAGTTTTACTGCAGTGCCGAATTGTTGGTTGATTCTTTAATTGATTTGCGAAAATGGAATATCAATTCTTGCTATGCCTGGTTTCACAAATTTTCCTTTTTTTTCATTTAATAAACTCCACAAAGTATCAAAATATAGTCAATTTGTATACAAACCAAACTTCTTAGACAAAAAACTAAAAGTCTTAAAAAAGAATTTAAATTCAAAAATGTGTGGTTCTTATATTAAATACTTTATTATGATCACAATATATATTTTGAAAAGGAACTATTATCAAATAACAATTTTAAAAACCATTACGAATTAAAATATATCTTGGTGTCTTGCCTTAAATACTTAATTATATCAGAATTTTTGTTTTTGGAAATAAACTATTTTGTAACAATAATATCATAAGCAAATATATCTTTAATAAATTTTGATAAATTTGTTTTTATCAAATTTATATGAAAATGCCAATATAATAATAAGATGTGCTTAAATATTACAACTAAAACTATAGTAAGTAGAGAAAAGTGTTATTAATTCCTTGATTTTCCAACAGACAAACCCGTTTGGACGAAGACTCCCTTTGTGAGCCTGCAGTATGCCTACATTAACGGCACTGCGACCCTCATGTGCGAGTCCCAGGCTGAACCGCCGGCCAATTTCACATGGTACCGCAAACACAACAAGCTGCACAGCAACAACAAGCTCTACACCATCGAGTCGGACAGCTACTGGTCCAGCCTGACCATCCACGTGCTGAACGCCAGCGCCTTTGACAATTACCGGTGCCGGGCTGGGAATCATCTGGGAATCATCGAGAGGACCACGCGATTGGAGCAGGGCGACAAGCCACCTGCTCCGTCCAACTTTCAGCTGCGCGGCTACAACTCGAACACCTTTGACGTCGTTTTGAGTGCGCCGCGGGGTCAGGACCGCAGACCCATGGACGTCAACGGATTCCGCATCGAGTACATGACAGAAATGGAGTTCAAGTCGGACGCCGGCAAGTGGACCAATGCCAGGCGGAAGGACTTTCCCTTCGAGGAGGGTGAGTTTAGCAAGCCCGATTGTTCCTATGAAATCCTAATGGATATTTAACCGACTTAAAATCAACTTAGACTTTGAAAGCCATTTTATTGAATTACTATACCAAAGGTCCTAAATTACAATAACATTATAATAATAAATAAAAACATCTTTAGAAAATCGATTTAAAAATAGGTTTAAGCTAATTGTGGTCTGCTTTTGACACATTTTGTTCTTAAATACAAAAAATAATATCAATTTTATGACTATTAATTATCTGATATTATTATTATTAAGTGATGTTTTTAAACAAGCGGTCCATCCTACACCTTAATGCTATTTATTATTAAATAAATATTTATTTATTTATTTTTAAATTAAAATATTTAATTTACTTAACCTCAAAAAAAGTAGTATAAGTGTTATAGCATAAGAAAATGAGCTTGTTGGATAAACTTAGCTTACCATATAAAATTATATTTAAGTAAATAATGAAATGCAAAGGAATAACTTTGTATATATTTCAGGGGCAACGTTCCTATTGACAAACCTAGAGCCGGATACGGGCTACCTGGTGAGGGCGGCATCTCGCAATCTGGCCGGCTTTAGTGACTTTACCAAGGTGGAGAAGTACAGGACGCTGTCCCTGGAACCGCGATCCTCCTCGGGGACTTCCCAGTCCACTACTTTCTTTCTGGGACTGTTGGCACTACTGGGCCTGATGCGGCCTAGCCTTGGGTGAATCTGAATCTGCAGGCGGATGAAGGATGAAGGATGACGGGTGATGCATCTAGCAGAACCAGGAACCAAAAACCAGGCCCTCAAAACTCCATGTGCTTTGTATAGCTTTAAGGCGTGTCCACCATGACACTAGTTCTGTCTGATTTGCTTGGTCTAAGTAATTGGGTTACTCTTAAGTTCAGTGCGTTTGATATACCCTAAAACAGTGTTACGGTTAAGTTTACTAAGAGTTTCTTTTTAGCTTTTAATGTTTCGATTTCAAAGATATTTATGGAAAACTTATAGGAATATTTATATATTTAAACAAATCCTCATAGCGGTTTAAGAAATTCAACGGTTAGCTGGCCTTGGCCCCTTTAAAATTATGCAAACCCAAAGCTTTGCTCAAGATTTCTCTCTGTGAAAATTTTAAATTAAGTCACGTCAGGGTTATAATTGCTATGATATGATTTATATAGAATTGGAAGTTTCCTGCTAAACTAAGGCCTTGTATCTTTGTTGCCAAAATCTTTAAGATCAAATCAGAAATTTGCCAAAATAAATTAATGTTTGTACACTCTACAAGAGTAAATATCTTTCCAAGCATAGGCCAATCAACCTTTTCAACTTAACTAAATACCATTTTGAATATCTGGACAAGCATTAAACGCATCAAACAATAAACAATAATACGAAAGAGCTTATCAACAGCATTTGAAAGTTTTGTAATACACTTTATCTGTGACTATTAAAGTCAAAAGCCAAAAAGAACATTTTCACGTGTACATTTTCAGGGCTTTAAATAAACGATAACATTTGTATGTAAAACTAAGCATGACCCTTTTACCACAATGCAAAGGGAAAGCAAAAACCGTAGCCATATATAAATCAAACATTTATATTTTACAAAACTAGTTGATACCCAATAAAAGAATATTTTAATTCAATGTGGGACACATATAATCCTAAAGATCTAGCCAAAGATGAAATATTTTGTGGTTTTCGTTTGCCAATTGTGTGTGAGCCAAAATAAAAGTTATTATGTAAACCAAAACAAAACTTCTTCTATTTAGAATTCTTGGTTAAAGATCGTCATATTTAAAATAAGCGAATTTTTAAAATGGCAAGCTTAAAAACAAATGGATTGCAGTTGGCCTAGTATATATGTTTTTTTTTTTGACACACCTAATTTTTATTAAACATTTTTTAAAACAAAAAACATAAAAATGTCGAAAAATGGGTCAAAAATTTAATTATTATAGTAAAAGTTCAAAGCAACCGCTAGAAGATCAGATGCAGAGTAATTGCAATTTCAATACAGAGTTCGGTACGTAGAATCTGATGATTTGTCCTAGAAAACATATAGAAGATTTATATCCCAGATTCCAATCGAATTCATATGCGCTACATAAAAACCCTGATCCGAGTGCAAAACTCCATACACAGGAGATTCCATCGGAGAAGCTCTCGAAATTTGCAGGCCAGGCCACTTCGTATTGCAGCTGGTAGCTCCTTTACGGATTGTAAGGAGTCGGATGAAGCAGCGGGGGAACTAAAAACTTGTCATGACCAGCAAAAAGAGCTCCCCTACGATGCCTCTAAGCCATTGGAAAAAGAGTGCCCCTCGAATGATAAACCAGTGAAATCTCCCTGCCAGTGCAATAAACCAACAGAAAAAAGTGCGGACAAGAGGTTCCATTTGAGGCCGGAACCCGCTAAAACCGCAAGCCGTGATGAAAATAAGAGCCAGCGGCGCAGCTGCGTTTGCTTCCAAAAGCCCGTGGCCACAGAAATTCCGAACTGTGATCCGCTGGGAAAAACCCGAGAAACTTGGCCCCATAAACATCAAAAGGTAACAGAAAAGCCCAAAAATCACAGAACTTGCCGCTGTTGCTCGAGACCCATAATCGTGGTTCCCTCTGGGGAAGGAACGAAGAAATTCCATGAGGCAACTCAACAAGCTGCCCCCCAAAAATCATCACGACATTCGAAACTCGCTACGCAGGATCACACCAAACCACAAAACTCAAAACACGTTAACCAGACCAACTCCCAAACACCGTTGCCAGATCGCAATTCAGCGCAAAATTCTGCAGAAAATAATGAGGTTTGCTATCATTCGTCAGAGGATACCCATTGTTCGAGGAAACCACCGCCGTGTGCAAACTGTCCTGCTATTTCCGATATAACCAAGCAGTTGAGTGAAATGAACCGAAGATTGGAGGGTCTTCAGAGCAATGAGTTGAGTGACATTCGTCACCAGGTGGATAGCCTCAATGCCAATGTCCAGTCGCTGACCGAAAAGTGTGAGGAGAAGAAAAAGCTGGAGAATAAGACCTCGAGCATCTGCCAGTTTTGTCGGGGGCAGAATTTGCCCCTGCTCAACAGTTTCCACGGCCAGCTGATGGACTTGATTGGCGATCGCAGTCTTACGGATCTGGTGATGTCCATATTCCTGCGAGCAGACAACGTCTACCACGTGAACCTGAGGGTACTGAGCTCGGGCCGTTCCCTGGGCTGTTTCCTCGTCACCGATGCCGGCATCGAGGAGGCCATCCAGTTGGACCTCTTCAAGGACATACTCACCTTCAGTGTGATCGATGTGCGGAATACCATCAAGCGAAAGAACTGCGCCCTGGGCATATCCTTTGAGTTCCATCATGCAGATCGCCAGAGCGGTGGTTGCGACTCCAAGGCTCGTGGCAGTTGCATGGTGGGTAGGGCCTATGTGGCCAGGGTTCTCTGTCTTCCTTTGAGGAAGCTAAAGTACGTGTATTCTGTGCCGCAAACACGTAGAAAAGAAACGGAGAACAGATCCAGCAAACTCGGCAAATCCACAAAAGTTCAAATTCAATCAAGATCTGGCTTATATCAAAATAAGACTTTCAACGAAATCGACCTCATCGATGATCAATTCATTTTATCCGATGACGAAGACAAAAATCCATTGAGTCAACTGGAAACGACCTCGCAGTCAGACCTAGATTGCCGTATTCATCATAACTAAAAAAAAGACCAGCCAAACTTTTCTACCTTTAATAGCCCACGAAGATTACCCTTACAAAAGAATATTGTCCTAAAAATTTTCAAGATACTGCTTATAATTTAGAGAAGCCCTTTAAATTATTATTTTACATTGTTATTAAATTACTTAGTAATTTTACTAACACACATAAAAAAAATTGAAGATTTCATATTGGTTTCATTTAACTTTGGAAACTGAAAAATTGGGTAGTCTTTTCAGAGCATCTCGCCAATATTATAAAAAGTCAAATAAATTTTTAATTTTACACAACACATGAAAATATAAACAAACTAAACGGAAATATTGCCCATGTCGCCTCATGAAACATAGGCAATATCTGATTTGTGGCAGCTACCTTTACCGTATGCTGCACTTGAATTTTCCACAGCCGGCAGGCCTCATGTCAAACTGTTCATTTTGGGCCAAAAGCCCGATCCCGGTTTGTCAATCAGCCACGTCAACTGGGGCTCAAACTGAGGCCCGCATATGCGTCCGATGGGCTGCAACTTGAGGGGGTTTTTGGGGGCACGAAATGGGAGTAGTGCGTTGACAACCGCATAAATCAGTTGAATGCCAAACGTCGGATTCGGATGCGGATGCGGATGCGGATGCTGATACCGATATGCACTGCTGCGTCTGCGGCAACGTGCGGCATATTGTGCCTAGTGACTTTTATTGTCCAACCACGCGTTAAATGTTTTTCTGTGTACGCACAGACATGGATGCCCTCATCATCAGTAGAACAGCGAAACCATTGTCATTTGACATTAGGCCTTATGCCTTTTGCCTTTCGCAATGAGCAATGAGCGTTTGCGTTATTTAGTGTGCAAATAGGCGCGGTTCAAAACAATCTGCCCGCTTTTTAATTGCAAAAGAGGCAACGATTTCTCGTTCAAAGGGTCGCTTTGCCCCATTGGTTTATGGAGCCACCACCAGCTCTGAATACCAGCACTTTAAGTCAACAGTTTGAGTCATGACAGCTGAACGCTGGAAAATAAAAATATAGTGGAAAGAACAGCATTCGGCCATTTTAGGCCTTCGATCGCCCCAAGTGGGTCAGTTTCGCACGAGCTTTTTGAGCAAATCAACGCTGGGTCCCAGTTTATTTTTCCCATCCGCCGGCGGAATCCTCTCGGAGCCATCTGCATCCCAACTCGATGGGGAGTTAGACCATTTGGGCAATGCAATTTCCATGTCAGCGCACAGTTTTCCTTTTTTTTTTGCACATATCTGCTCCGTTTCATTTGGCTTATCGAAAGTTTGGCACTCAACACTTTTCACAACACACATGGGGTTAAGGCCTTAAATTGAAATCAAGCGATTTATTTTTTGTGAACAACGAAACACAGTGATATTCCTGTTTTTAAGTAATTAATTAAATTTAATTTTAAGCAGATTTATATGTTCAACAGTTTTCAATTTGACATAAAAATGAATGAATTGTTATTGGTATTATCAGTTCTTAAATAATTCGATTTTGTGAAAAATTCGGGAGTATAAACTTTTTTAAAACAGGTACTTTCGTAGTTAGGCGCATACCAAATGTATATAATTAAGCTGGCAAAATTAATCCTTTTCCATTTTGGAGTAATCAGAATTAACGAAGACAGAATTGCCGATGGCAATGCAAAGATTTAACAACATTTACCTAGCCATAAATACACACTTAACACGTTTGAAATCGGGCTGGCTGCCTTGCGTCATTAGGAATTCCATCAGTGCTTCATTATCCCCCCACAATTTCTCCACTTGGGTTTCCCCGCTTTTCCGCTCCTTGAAGTTCCTTGGCCACGGGGCGGATGAGAATGTGGATGGGAATGCGAATGGGGATGTGAATGTGGATGTGGATGGATGCTTTGTAGCGAGCGACCGCACGCCGTGTCAATAAATGAGCGCAAAGCATTAAATTGTAATTTTTTAATTACACACACAAAGGATTTAATGACTGCGGTGCTAATAACACACAACAGACGGCTGCCACGCCCTCTGGCCCCTTACATCCAGAGAAAAGCGGGATAGTAAAATTAAACAAGTTCTTATTTGAAAGTAACATATTTCATTTAAACTAAACGTTAAAAATATATTTAATTGTTTATCAAATACAAAAATTGGAGATTTCAATATTTTTTCTCTTACAACTTAATTTTTCCATATTTTAAATACGATTAAATATATAAATGCTCATTTTAAGTCTGCACTAAATGTTAAAAAAAGGATGTCTATATTAAATGTATTATTAAAAAGGACAATTGTCAATTACTTGCAATTTTACAAACTAAATCAGTACTGAAAATATTTAATTAAAAGTGTTAATATTTGGACTCACCGTATTCTTTCTCTGGGTGTTTGCAGCGCTTAATTACATAAAGCTGAGCGGTAGAAGATAGCCTTCACAGACAACGGCGATGGCGAGTGTAAAATCGAGATAATAAGAAAATGGCGAAAATTAAATTGTTCTTCTGTGCGCGCCAAGTGACCAATTAAAGCGAGCATCTTTTGCTGTAGCCAGAATCCCCAGGGCCTTATATCCTTTGCTGCCCAGCTCCTTGTACTCCGGCTTATTAGCCACCGAGATTTGTTTGACGACATGCCGACCGTCTTCTCCGTTTGTTTAGCCATAAAAATCATTTTCCGCTTTCTAATGATGCCACAGAAATGCCAAGGCGGCCAACTAAATTAGAGCCGGCGGCCTTTCAACAGTCGGCAGTCAGGAGTCGCGATATATACACCGCCCGTCCAGAGATGGAGTCGTAAATAAAAGTTGCTCCGCAAACTAACTAATATGCCAGAGTCGGGGCCCACAAATCTTATATAAAGTAAATGCATCGGTAGAGCTGCTGCTGCCCTTCGCCGCCCGCGTTTTCTGCTGGTTTCACTTGCTGTTGTTGAATGTTTTCGTGTGTTTGCTGTTTGCTGTTTGCT